TTTTTTTTTTTCTCTCTCTCAGTGCAGAGGTACAAACACAGAGGTCACCCAAACTCTGCTTCTGAAGATGTGCCTACCTAGCCTTTCAGCTCACCACCTCGACACATAGATCTCCGGGCAATACCACTGTTTCCACAATATGGGCAATGCCTTATTCCCTAGAGAACCTCTGGGGTGGCTTGGACCTCAGATAACAAATCAAGGCTTCTTCATTTCAAGAAATCTCTCACCATCTTCAAAATGAGTGTTCTCTATGTACATGCCTTCAACCGCGGCTGGATCAACTTGACCAAGCCATGGGCAGCCTCACCTTGTGGGACTCGTCCTGAATCATTTGAAAAGCTGTTAAATGTTTGTTTTCCTCAAGGACTAGGCTATACAGTCCCTAAGAAGTGATGTGCTGGTGAGCCAGCAATTTCCATAGTATAAATACTCCCACTGTAAGCTACTAACAGTTTAACAACCAGCTTGCAAAATTTCTAAAAACGTAATAATCCGCTGTTGCCGTGTGAGCTAGTTCCAGCTTGCCGCTGAATCTATGCAGGTTCTTGCTGGGGTACAGCTCAGACAGGACTGATTGCTTGATACTGAAAACCACAATCCCCCCTTCTCTTTCACAAGACAACTCCTATCTTGTATGTGGCTATAAACCAACAGAGAGGCAGAAGATCAAATAAAATTTATTAATGTTTATGAGACAGTAAAGATAACAACAGTTACAGTATCTCCCCACATGGCCCAACAGTGCATACCCTCCCACCAAACAAAAACAAAAAACAAAACACAAAAGCAAAAAAGGCAATGAGATGCAGTCATTAACAGCCCAACACTGGATTCAAAGGAATGAAGCCTCTTCTAGCAGCAAAGTTTGGAGTTGTGCAATTACGTAACTGTCTCGGTCCACTCGTAGCAGGTCTTCCTACAGCTTCCTGTTAGAACCAGAACTGCAAATGGCTTACTGGTTATATTGCTGGACTCCCACATGGCTGACTGTGGTTCGAGTCCCAGACCCGGTGGCTTCAAACTCACACCAGGAGTATGTGCATGCATACCCAAGATCCTGGAAGGAGAAGGGACTGTGGTATGGCCATTCCCCACCCCTCACCCCACCCTACCCCCCGGAGGTGATTTCTTACTTTTCGTCTCTCTGGCGAACGCACACACCCAATAGCAAATCTCTCCAGAAAAAAAGAACCAGAACTGAATTCCATGGAAGAACATTCAGATTTGGCTTCCAGAATTCTTTTTAAACAGAGATAGGAAACTTCCCCTCTTGAAGCACCAGCACTCAATTCAGCAGCTGCAGAGGACCGAGATGTTCCTCAAGTAGTCTGAAGAAATGGATGGTGGTAGAAACACCAAATACTTTCTAAGTTCACATTTTGTAACAGAATAAAGAGTCTAATACATAAAACTCATAAGGTAATACAATCCCAGGTAAACAGTAGAACATCCAAAGGGAAATTCTGGAAGGATTTAGTAAGAGAACAGAAGGGAGAAGTAGCAGTTCTGCACAACCTCACTTCCTAGTCTCAAATATTATGCAAAAATAGCTTGTACCCACTACGGTTTAACCCCTTCTGTATTCTACCCCCTTTCTAAACAAGACTGGTCTCTATAGGGTATGACGAGAGCCCATGAAGCAGCAGAGAGAGAGTAGCACCTTTGAGGACATTAAAACAAGCAAACAGAACCCCTTTTCCTTCCTTCTGTTCTTAAATAAGGCACGTGTCTATACACTGCTTTGTGTTCCTTTGAAGGAGAAAGTTACAACTGAAACCTCAACACAAGGGATGAAGGAAACTGATAGCAACTGTGACTGGGCATGACCACAAACCCATGGAGGAGACTCAACCATCAAGTCACTCCCTTCCCACAACAGACGATATTGTTTAGTTGTCTCAAAAAGGAACAGGACGGGGGCCAGCAGTTGGCATAATGGCTATGTCGCTGGACTCCCACATAATCGACTGCAGTTCGAGTCCCGGACCCGGTGGCTTAAACTCATGCCGGGCGCGTGTGCGTGTGTGCCCAAGATCCTGAGAGGAGAATGGAGGAGAAGGGATTGAGGTGTGGCCATCCCCCCTGCAGGGTGATTTCTCGCTTTCGGTCTCTCTGTCTCTCTCTGGCTGGCTGGCGAGCGCACACGCCCTACAGCAAAAAAACCTCTCCTTAAAAAAAGAAAAAAAGTAACAGGATGGTTCAAATCATGACGAAGGCTACCAAATAACAGACTGAGTGTTCTCAGCACCGTTGGCCTAAAGTAACAAACATCCCTCATGGATCACTCCTCACAGCTCACCTACAAGGAAAGGACAAGACCTACTTCTTACAACACCCTCTCTTTCTCAGAGAAGTGAGGCCCACAAAACATCCCCCTCGCAATTAGAGCTCTATCTTCAAATCTCCAAGAACTCAAATTTACTGTCATTGCTCAACCTGTTTTCTTTCCTCTGTTGAGGTTTCAGAAATGGTCTCATTAGTTTGTATGCAAACAACCGCATACTTAACAAGTGACCCAAAAACTGTGAAGTGTAATCATTGGAAATGTAAACTGCTGACAGCGTCTTTACCTTCTGTCTTTACGTGACCAGGTAAATCATGATGTCTATTAGATTTTCTAATCTGTGGACTAGGTCAACAAACGAGGTTAGGCCAAATTTAAAAAATAAGATCTTGGAAAAAAAAATAAATAGTGATTATTTTTAAAGTTATAGCAGATATATGCGTATATGTGTGTATATATATATATAATTTGCCAGAGAGAAAAAGAAAGACAGAGGGAGTGGGAAAGAAAGAAAAGGCACACTCCCATGGGGTATGGCCACACCACAATCCCTCCTCCCCCACTTCTCCATCCTGTCAAGATTTGAGGCATGCATGCATACACGCCTGGTGTGTTTTTTTTCAAAACACCACAAGTGGAATGTGGTCAGCCATGTGTAATCTGGCTCCCTTAATCACCAGGCTACAGAGTCAGCCCAAAAAAGGTAATTTAAGGAACTAGCAGTTAGTGTAATGGCTATGTCGCTGGACTCCCATGTAGTCGACCATGGTTCGAGTCCTGGACCTGGTGGCTTAAACTCATGCCGGGCACGTGTGTGTACCCAAGATCCCGAGAGGAGAAGGGACTGCGGTGTGGCCACCCTCCTGACGGGGTGAGGTGGGGTAGGGGGGTGATTTCTCGCTTTCTGTCTCTCTGTCTTTTTCTGTCTTTCTGGAGAGCGCACACGCCCTATAACAAAAACCTCTCAAAAAAAAAAAGTTATTTAAAATATATATATTTGTGTGTGTGATGTTATATATTATATATGTTTTATATATATTACATATCTATGTATATAAACAACATATAATGCTGCAGTATGGCAACCTGAGCTACCTAGTGAAGAATCATGGGAAGGAATTATCCTCTTGAAAAAATCAAAGATGGGGAGGAGAAATGTTTGTCTCACTTCAACAGAGGTGAACACTACCACTCTATTACAGAGAACTACTTACATATACACTGTCGCTCCTTCCGGCTATGTCATACCTATTCTGTAATGGCTTATAGAAAAACCCATGTCAATTAAAAGTTGAAATTGGCTTTTGGAGCAGAATGGAGGAACCTGTTACAAGATATTAAGAGCACGGAAGGGAGAAGTATAGGTTCCGTACAACCTCACTTCCTCGTCGCAAATATTATGCAAAAATAGGTTCTACCCACCACAGTTCAATCATGGCGCATTTTAGAGACAAATGTTGGAGACCAATGCAAGTAAAAAGTTAACCTAATTGCAAAACACTGCTAAAATATTTCATGAGCCCCCACTAGAAACTGTTTGAAGACTTTTTTTTTTTTTTGGCTTCTGATCTGAAAAGTCTAGAAGGAAACCACAAATTAGTCAGCTCTAAGAGAGTAAAATAGCAAAGAATCTTTGGCCCCAATTGCAACTAGCAAGACAAAAAAATAATAATAATAATAATCTCTTCTATCTTTCTTTAATTGGTGACACACTTTACTTACTACTTCAAAAACCCAGTCAAAGCAACCCAAGGACACTTGAGGCTACCAACTTTAAGTAATTAAGATTATACACTCAAGCCACCCAAACATGACCGATGAAATCATTAAACCAGTGAGTGTATGTTTTATACCAAGCTCACACCTGAAAATGTACAAGAAGTGAAAGTCAAAGAAGACCTATCCCAAACAAACATTTTGTCTGAAGGCACATCCAAAAGATTCAAGCTTCACTTCATTTAAAAAAAAAAAAATACTTTGGCACTGACAGTGTGGCAAACATTTAGAATTCTCCTTCGAATAACTGGAAGAAAATATGGGATACACCCAAGAGTGAAGGCAAACCAAAAGTATCTTTTTGCTGAGGAAAAGAATTTCTTCATTCAATGAAAGCACAACTTATTAAAAGAGCAAGTCGTGATCTCTTCTGAGAGTTCTTGAACAGTTTATAAATACAAAAACAACTTTTCTTCAATAAATAAATGGTTCTAAAGTCTTTTGATGACCACCAAGGTCTTCTGTCCCTGCTGTCCAGGCCAGCTCTGCTCCTCTGACAGGCTTTAGCTGCTGGTAGATGGATTCTTTCTGTTACTGGAAGACTCTTCTTCTATCATGCAATCTTTTCATCAATATGTCTCTTCATAGTCTGAATCCTGGAGAGGAAAGAAGTGTGTGTGATGTGTATAAGAAATACAGTGCCACTGTCCAAATTTAGGCAAACACTGCATGCTGGTATCTTCCAAATAGCACTTGGCTCAGGGTGACAGTAGCAAAATACCATTGACTCAACACACTTAAATTCCCACAGTGATCTCCACATTACCAGGTCACCCCATAACCCATTCTCAGCTCTCTTTTCACTTCACAGACTCGGCTGCAATGGACACAGTCACTCACTCTCTTCCTCAATGCACTGTCTTCCCGTGGCTCCCCAAATGCCTAACTCTCCTGGTTTTCTTCTACCTCACCAGCCATTCCTTCTCAGCCTCTTTTGCTAATCCTTCATCTCCCGACCCCAGAACCCTTGGTTAGCCCATGCTCAGTTCTCTAACTATATTCATTTCCCGGGTAGAACTGTCACTATCAGTCTACTCACGGCTCCTACATTTATGTGTCCAATCTAGATCTCTCTTCTCAACTCCACACCCACATCTGCCTACTCCACACAGCCACGTGGAAGTTTAATATTTTCAACTTAGTATATCCAAATTCAACTCCTGATCTTCCTCCTAAGACTTATTCTACCTAGAGACTTCCACATAAAAGATGGCAATACCATTCTACCCGTCGTGTAAGTCGGGAATCTTGGAATCACCCTTGACTTCTCTCATTTTCTCACATACACGTGCAACATCAGTAAATCTCGTTGACTTTACCTTCGAACTCTAATCAGTCAGAACACAACCACTTCGTGCTACCTCGGTCGCCACCACCCTGATCCCAACTACTACCAGCTTCGTTCACCTGAGTTATTGCTAATGCCTTCCTAATTCGACTGATTGTGTCAATGTCCCACAATGCCCACTCCACACAAAAGCCAGAGTGATATTTTCAAAACTCACATCAGTTCACAGTGCTTCTCTTCCCTAACCTTCTAATGGGTTCCCATTTCCTTGAGAGTCAAAGCCCAGGTCATTACCATCATCTGTAAGATTCTACAGGATCTGGGGCCAGACTGTGGTTTGGTGGTTTAAGGCACTGGACTCCCACATGGTTAACCACAGTTCAAGACCTGGTGGCTTGCTTTCTCAATTCCCCAACCTCCTTTCTCTCTCTCTGTCTCTCTCTTTCTCATAGCAAATTTAAAAATAATAATAATGATAAATAAAATTAAATAATTCTTAAAAAAAAAAAGATTTGGTAGGATCTAGCTGCCACATTACCTCTGATTTCAACCTTGCCTGGCTGGCTTCAATTCCTGCCACAGTGTCTCTTTGGTATTCCTAGAACTGCCAGTCATGGCCTCCCTCATGGCCCCTGCACCCATCGTTTTCACAGCCTGAGCTCCCTCACGGTAGCTGTATGATTTGCTATCTACTTGTTTTTCAAATATCACCTCATTGATGGTATCTTTAACCACCCTATATAATATCACACCCCCTAACCAGCGATCCCATCCGCTTTTCTGTTTCATTTTTCACCATACATCAAGCACCACCTGCTATACTATATAGTTTACCTAATTTAAAAAAATATATATTTTAGTTAGTGTTTGTATCCCAAATTAAGAAAACAATGACAATTCAGCTAGGTCTTAGAGGATGAAAAAGGATGTTCCAGGTTAAGAATGTTAAGTGCTGGGACCAGCAGTTAGCGTAATGGCTATGTCGCTGAACTCCCATGTAGTTGACCGCGGTTCAAGTCCCAGACCAGGTGGCTTAAACTCATGCCAGGCACATGAGCGTGCGTGCCCAAGATCCCGAGAGGAAAATGGGGGAGAGAGAGTGTGGCCATACCCCCTGGGTGGGGGGTGATTTCTCACTTTCCGTCTCCCTGTCTCTTTCTGTCTCTCTGGTGAGCGCACACTCCCCATAGCAAAAAAACTATTAAAAAAAAAAAAAAAGGAATGTTAAGTGCTTTGAGGGCAGGAGTTTTTTGTCAGTTTTGTTCACTGTCATCTCCTAAGTACTTAGAATAATGCATGTGGCACATATTAGATGCCCCAAAATAACTGTCAAATCGATTCTGTCTGAAATGTGAATAATAGCCATGTAACATCAACTTATTTTGTGTTACAAAAATAGCCACATCCCAAAGGGTTGTCTTGGGTGTTCTCCACTGGTACTGTCCACCTCTCATCTTATCCGTGCTGCTCGGAGCATGGAAGAAAGCAGAGTGAGGAACACGACGGTGAGTAATTGGGCTGTGGTCACCGGACCAAGTGCTGAGCTCGGCAGAAAGTACAAAGAGGGCTGGAGGTAAACCCTGCCAGGCAGGTATGTCTCACATTAGGTCACGAGTTGCTTTTGACCTGATTCCAACAGCACTGCATCAGAGCGTCTTTGCTCCTCCTGGGCTCCAAAGACAGTCACACAAGCCTAATAGTCCCCGCAGACGCTCACAGAGGGAGGGATGACAGCCTTCTGAAATCGTAATCAAACTCAAGCCTTCCAAAGTGGTATTTCTTAGTGATAAAAGACATCGAGTTACGTAAGTGGTTACATTGCTCTACATGCCTGGAAAACACC